GTGCCACACTAGTAGTAACAGGTGCCACGCTAGTAGTAACAGGTGCCTTACTAGTAACTCTTCGTCCAGGACACTTCCTAGCGACTATACAGCTGTGGTGTTGGGTCCCCAAGCTATGCGCAGAGTCTTCGTGCAATCAGATTGAGACCTAATGCCATACCCCGCACATAGACCACCCCTTGCTCACCGGTCCCAGATTCAAGGAGCTGCAAAGACATCGAGGAGGGAGAGCAACATGGACATCGCCTCCTTGCTTTGGGGGATGCTGAGGCCTTGCAAACATACTCTGAAATACTGTACTGTTAGATGTGTTAGAATATTGCAATGTTGAGTTGGAGGGTTTTCCTTTGAGACTGTGAGACTGTGCAGCCTCGACTAGCACTCGCTGTTTGGGAAGAAGCTGTGCCAGGCGGCCTCAGAGCAATTCGCCTTGGCTTTGGATGCCCTCGGCTCCAGCACCGTCGACAGACCTGAGAGTGCCCAAAGTGTGGTACTGTTCCAGAGCCACTGGTGGCTGGCTGAGGAGGCTGCAGGAGGAGTGACCTGGAGTGGAAGCAGAATCTATTCCACTTGGGGGTAGCACGTGTAGGATTCCGTCGGACCGCCGTAGGAGTGTGCTTTTTACGGTCCCAAAGACATTTGATTTTAAGGGTTCATGATAGTTCCAGGTTGTCGATGACATATATAGAGAGAATTTATTCGGAACATGACCCCCCCCGTTTCTAGGTTTGCCTGCAAGACACCATTTGCACAAAATGCCACATGGATGTTTTGTGTGGGATGATGCTTGTTGTTGCGTTAGATGCTAATTCAAGCTGACAGCCTTGTGTTTCGTGCACACGGACAGTGGATTGCTGCTCGTGCACAAACTCAGGTGTGCTTGCTGAAAGCATTAGGCGATGGAGAAGAGCAGGTAAAACTCAATTGTGTCGGAGAGCTTTTGCCAGCCAAAGAGCTGTAACTGACCTGAGCTTCAACATACTTTTTGTATCTTTTTGTCAGGACATGGAAGGCACCGGGGGAGACCGGTGAAATTAGCCTTCCACGGCAGAGTTTGAGGGCTTGCCGCCTTTCTGAATCGCCAGGCAAGGCCGTTGGACTATTGGGCCTCAGGGCAAACTTCAAGCACTACTTCACCTCAGACAGGCCCAGTGTTCCTTGAAGTTGGCAGATCATGGAAGTGCAATACAACAGCTGAAGCTTGCGCTTTGCTTACGAGAGGCAGGGACTGCTTTTTTGTTTTTTGCTTCGTTGGGCCATTAGGTGGCCGTTTGGGCATCTCATTTTGTTCATGCCCACGTCCATTGCCTGACCTGTCCCAACTTTGAGGTGACTTGCCAAAAGCTGCCCATTTTCTCCGGCTCCCGTTTACAAGTCTTGGGCCTGGCCAAGCTGTTGCTGGGCGTTCTGGTGGCCTGCAGTTACGGTGCATCCGCGGCAGACGTCTCACCGGTGGCCGTGCAGGCGCTGGCCCTGGCAGTGGTGCTGGGTGCGGCGGCACTGGGCGCGCGGCTCAGGCGGACAGTGCAGGAGAGCTGGAGATCAAAGAGCATACAGGAGCAGTAGGGACCAAAATGGGTTGGGACAGAGACGGGTCGTGGCCAACCAGCTGACATTGAGTGGTGTATCTCTGGGATTCCTAGGATACTTCCAGCTCTTAGTAGATTTTGTCATTGGGTTCATGGAGTTGCCTACCGCGGCAAAGAGACATTGACATTGAAGATCTCAGTTTATGCGGCAAGGAAGAGTTGTTGCGGTCAAGAATCAGTGGTAGATGCGCTATGCCTCTGCACTCTGAAGATGAGTTTAAAAGTAGCTGGACCGTGCCCTTGCCTTGTGAGAATTGGGATGGAGTTTTCAGTCCCGATTCCTTTTGAGCGAGGTATCTAGTTACTTGAGAAAGATGCTCCAAGGAGCGATATTCAGGGTGGATCTCGGTGAGCATTAGCACTTTAGAGTTAGTTATTGCATTACCAGTCTAGAGCGCTACAGCCTGGACCTGTCAATGGCCATACTCAACAAAAAGGTGAAAGAGTCCGACAAGCAGTATGGTTTACATCACTGACTGAAGAAGGCGCAGGTACGTCACTGGACGTCTCCAGTGATGTCCTCAGGAAGAGAGCTTTGTTAAGTGGAGCTCTGCAGGCCTGCTCCACTCCCTGCTGAGGTGTAAAATTCAACTGGAATTGACGGAAAGATCTGTACAATCAAGAGGTGAACTCAGCGAAAGTAAAGATCAGAATAGAAAAGAATAGTCTACTGTAGTGTCCCCAGAAACGGGCGTTGACACAGACGCACACACACACACACACTCGGGATAAGAGCACGTGGGGTCTGATTGGCACTTGCCCCGAAGCTGCCTAAGTAATCCAGAGGCCTAAATGAACAGGTCGTATGCAACGTAGTCCAAACATCTCCAAGCGCACCACAGAGTTCCCAAGTCTCCGAAGCTTCAATGTCCACCGAGGAACGTGAAAAGGAACGACGCGAGTGCACATCTGCAGACCTCAAAGCTACTTAAGCTGGCTCAAGCACTCTGGAGGTTAGACTGGGACATAGCTACTGTACCAACATCCGCAAAAAAACAAGGTACGCCACAGTGATCAGTTGTGATATACACATGCACTGTGGCCGCTTCCTCCCTCTCTCTCGCTCACCACATGGATGGGCCCCCTGCGTACAAAAAAAAACACCCAAAAGGCTCCCCATGACACACACACGCACAAACACCGGTTAGGGGCAGCTATAAAAAGTATGTGCGCGCAAAAGAAGACAAGTGGAAAGACATGAAGGGAGGGCATGAAAAAAGTGCGCAGTGTGTATGGAGGCGATAGAGACGAAACCGCAGGACCAGGGTGGGCCAAACCTCAGTGTACTAAGACCTGTGGCACCCGAAAACCTAGTTTCATTGTAGCCGTGCACATACACAGAAAGGTCCCGACAGGTGTGCGCGGAAAAAAAGGAAAGATGAAGCGGACGCGAAGACAGGAGGGACATGAAAAGAAATTAAAGAGTGTATAAAGGCAGATGAAAGGGGAACGAGGTGGAAGGGAACAAACTGGACAAAAAACCGAACCTGGGTTTCACAAACCTGGGGCACCTGACCTAGTTTGGTACTGTATGTAACCACGTGCTGTGCAGTTAGGCTGGGACTGAGATCACTTGATCTCGAACTCAAAGCTACGGCCGCTGTGGCCTAGGCCGGCCTACTCCGCCATGCTTAGTAGCTGGCTGCTCACGTCCGCTGTGGACACCTTCCACCACAGTTCTAAAGTGTGAGTGACGTTTGCACTAAGGCTCCTTCAGCCGCTATGATTGGAAGGGTTACACACAGAAGCAGGTTTTGGAACTAGGAGGAAAATGCCCAGACCCTCAATGAAGCTATGAACAACTGGTAGGGTAGATTCACCTGGCGAATACACCGAAAAAGCGTCCTTCGCCAGAAACACTTGGTGTTCGTGTGATCATTTGTGTTGCACGACATAATCTCATACTACAACGTCCTTGAAACTTTCCTATCGGTAGCCAATAAAAACAAATTAAATGCCTCACGATGGTTCCGATTTCACATTCGTTGAAGTGCGAGTGATGCAGGACACTCTCCAGTCGGCTCATTGGGCCCTGCGTTGGGGCCGGCAGGAAGAAGCAGGCCGTTTGTTGGACGAGGCGGTGGAAGACTGGACAGGACGGCAGAGATCGAAAAGGGCCGAAGAGCTGGTGGACGCAGAAGCGAATGAGGTCAAGCAGGACGACTGCTGAATCACAACCGTTGATGCTATTCTTTTAGTGGTTCTTATGGTTTGGAATCTCAAGTAATCCTTTGCAAGCGCTCGCAGCCCTTGGTGGGCACGAGCAAAAGTGGAGAGCAACATGAAGGTTCGAGAGGTCGACTTCGGTTTCTCAAAGTGCTAAGGCCATTTGCTGGGCTGCAACTACGGAGTGCGGGGGCTCGTCCAACTGGTCCGGCTGCTCAGGTGCCCTCGTGCCAAGACTGTCGCATAGAGGCGATTGGTGGAACACATGGAAATGGGGGTGTAACCTGTAGGAGCATGAGCATATGAGCATGCTCAGGTTGAGTGGGAACTAGATGAATTCTCGATCTTTTGGGCACATTGGTTTTGAGCCCTGGGTCAATTGTCAAAACAGCATTGCTAGTGGGATTTCTTCTGTGTCACAATGCACTTTTTGGAGGTTGACGCGATCCCAGTCCTGATGGCAAAAGACTTTCGAGTTAAACACCACCAATTATATAAAGTCCTTTTCGCCAAGAGTTTCCCTTTATAGTATTTATACGGGATGAGACGGATCGAACATGTAGAAAGTCATGTAAGTTTCAAGCAAGATTTCCTTACCGCCTGGATGTGGCTGAGGTCTGTCACTCCTGACTTGCCTGAGGGGCTTGTGGGAAACTCGACGACTGGGCTCCTCCAAACAGTTTGTGCCTAGCTTCATGGCGGCCCAAACAGTTGCTAATTCATTTTTTCTTTTTCTTCTTCTGTTTTCTTTTAATCATTTTCTTCTCCAGGTACTTCTACAAACATTGGTGGGGCCAAGACGTTTTCGTTTCCTTTCTACAATCGTCTTGATGGAGATCCCGGATGAGATTCTCTTTTGGAAACAGTTCTTTGCGACTCAAACCATGACAGACGTGCTCACGTTTAATGAGAGTTCCACTCCACCTTTCTTTTCTTAGAGGCCTTTGCCTTTGCCACTGTGAGCTTTTGTAAAGCCAAATCTTTGCAATTTCCCACGCACTCAGACGGGTCCAAGGTGTTAGACAGCTCTTCAGGGAAGATCACTGGAGCCGCCAAGGAGGTGACCTGGTGAAACATGCGAAGGTCATGACGGAGGGAAGAATGATGGCTGTGCAGGGTCGATGTGCTCTTTCTCATGCTTTCCTCTCCGCCCACCAAGACAACAATTCTCGATCACTGCTCTGCAAGAGTTGCAGAATTGCTCGATTCCCATCAATCTTCATCACATCCCACGCTGTTTCAACTCTTGCGTATCAGCACACAATTCGCAGATTTGTGAGCCGAAGAGCTACGAGATCACGGCCACAAATTCTGGGGGCAAGGCATGGGCGGTGGGATTGAAGGGTGCACCTAAGGAGTCTGCGTGGCATGAGCCATTGGGAGATTTGTTCATCTCTGATTCAGATTTGTTTCTTGGTCGGAGTCTGAAGTCAAGTAAATTTTGGGAGCTATATATATACACGACCTGTTGCTGCACCCTACAGATATAGAAAATGTGGTCCTGACAGGTGTGCCCCGTCGAGACGTTTTTTCCATGAAATTGGTTGGATAATGTATGCTGCAACCTGTTGCACTTGTTCAATATTTTTTCTGTTTCTTTTGCCATGAATGCTACTTGTATTTTCAATGCGTGTAACATATACAACCGCACTCAGATCAGAACTTGCCAACGAGGCTGCCCGTTAAATTGAGAGCTGCAGTTTTACACATTATTGACACAACCCGCGGACATGGCTTCGCTCGGCCAATGATTTGAGGCGGCGGTCACCTTGGGACTCGAGGTCAGGGCTGTGAAGGCCTCAGCAATGGACTCCCAAACGAAGTTTGGCTCGGATCCAGCTGCAAAGGTGGGGGACTTCCTGCTTCTGATGTACTTCAGCAGATTTGTGGAGTGTGCAACACGACACAGTGAAGCCAACACATAATGGGAACACTTTTGCACAGGCACGTACCGTCACATTCACTTGAAACCTTCCAATTTTTCCTACAGAGATGTTCCTGAGGGGCGACCGAAGGGACCAGTCTATCCAGTGCCCGAGGCCTGGCGAGAGCAAGAAAAGGCTTCATGATGCTTTACATGATTTTACATGTATATTTACACATATAAATAGGTATTTCTTAGGGAAACATGGAAGCTTTACGTTGGGTAAAGCACCTGCACCTGTAGCCATCTGGGCATCTCTCGCTGAAGGCTCGACACGTCTTGTCAATGGTATTGCAATCCCATTTAAGAGACAACAAAGTGTGAAGACTGGCACCTTTTGTGAACCGGGCGGCACCAACAACCTTAGCTTTCATTCAAGATTCACAGTTTGCTTTAGCCCATTATTCTCACGTTTTGGCCAGCACCCGGCCCCAAGATGAACCGTGGGTGGAAAGATGGCAGTCATCAGAATACAACACAGTGTTCATGAGAGAGGCGTGCAGTACCAGGATTGCAACATACTGGAACGAGAATCAATTGGTGAGTGCCTTCTGCTGTCTCATCTGGAGGCCTTGTCAGGTCTTGGTCTTATCCATAGTTTTCTGCAGACGAAAAGGAGCCAGACGCGTGGTCTGTCAGGACGGCCTGGTGTTGCATGTGGGTGAGCCGTTTGAGCTAGCGCCAGAGGCAGCGGCTAGCTTGCGCTTGAGGAATGCTGATCATTGGATGTTCCAGGGTTGGATGTAGGGTTTGAAGAGGTAGGCTATGATGAATTTGACTTGGACTTGGCAGAGTAGATGCATGCTGGACAAAGGGTCCCTAGATTGCCTGGATCGCAGCTGGAGGATGCTGGAGCCGATGTGACTTTCAGCATAAGCTGGTAGCCCAGAAAATGACACGGACCACATGATACCTTTGAAGACCTGGCTTTTTAAGCCAGACCGTAGCCTGCAGCGAGTTGCTCATTTTGGCCTGAGCCTATGACCTATGACTCATGAATCGGACAGGTGTTGACTTTCCAGTTTGGTTTGCTTCCAGGAGGACATATTCAGCAAAGGGCTCTCTAAGTGCCCTTTGAATAAGTCTTCAGCAGTTCACGTAAGCGGCATATATCTTGATCACAGGTGGGAAGCCCTGGAATCCGAAGACGTAGACGGGCATCGGATATTGCACCAGATCGCATGCCAAGGTCCCAGCCTTCCTGCTGGCCTCCACATAGACGAGGCTGGTTTGCTGTACCGGTAGGAAGAAATCTGTGACTTTCTTTGATTGCGTTGGGGAACGAGAGCAAAGGACTTTTTGCTAAGGCCAGTGTCCTCTTGCATATGCAGAAGACTGAGCGACTAAATGCCAAAAAGTTTTAGGCTCACAATAGCTACCTCACCACTCAGCTAAATGCCAGGCCACGGGATGCATTAGCGGGACACCTACAGAGGAAACCGCAAGGACCGAGTACGAGGCCGAAAGTATTTCGTCATTTTAGAACTTGCCATGCAGGGACAACCGGGAACAAAGCCTACAGACAAGCCGAGTTGGACTGCCAAGGTTGTGAATGTGCTAAACTCTGAAGTCTATGTACTTGCAGATTGGGACTGGGTTGGTGTCTCTTTGAGCAGTTGAGCAGAATGAACGTGACCTCCTAGCCTTGTAGACTGTCTCAAAGGGCTTTGGTCGGGACTTCAATGATGGTCACGTTGTTTTGAGGTCCACATTCAGAGGAGAACAGTCACACATTTCGGAGATTGCATGGGTAGAGACCCTGTCCCAGTTTTCACACTCAAGAACACCATCTCAGCAGATTATTTTGCAATTCCAAGGAAGTTGTTTACAAACAAGTTCGGAGTTCGGCACGTTTGCAGGTTACAGCCAGCAACATGTCTGGCAGCGAGGCAGCGAGCCTCGCCTTGACCGTAAAGGCGGAACAGGTCAGCAATCTGAGGCAAGGATGAGAAGCGGATCTCTTGGGCACGTGGATTTTTTTATCATTATATAATTGACTTCTTGATCTCATTTTGGTTTTCCAGTCTTGACTTACAGATGAGGCAATCGAGGCGTCCATAGGTGCACCGCTTTGGGCACTCCGACTCACCAACATGAAAGCAGAACTCTTTGTTTATTGTTTTATTCCCCAAACAGTGTGGACACGCTTGGGGGTTCTTACGGTAGGGGTTAAGCAGCTGTGCTTAGATCGCTCGGGCGTGCGGACGTCAATGGATAATTCACTGCAATTTACATTACATTCATGCCTATCGAAATCCTCCAAGTGCATTTCGACTGCGCAGGCTCGCAAAATCTGGGTGCCGGCGGCGGGTGCTTCTAGCGACTGCGCTCTCGTTGTGGTGCCGTGCGCATTTTCGTACATGGTGGTCACTTTTCGTGGCAGGCGCAAGTTTTCGTCGTCCAAAGTCGACTTTTCGTGACAGGTGCAAGGGATCGGAGCTGTTTTACTTCGAAGTGCAGTTTTCGTGGCAGGCGCAGCACTTTGGGCATGGTGGTGATCGTCGAGGAGCTCAGATTTCGTGACAGGTGCAGTGAATCGTGACTTTTGGACATACGGCTCGTTTCGTGGCAGGTACAGCATTGTGTGAACCTCGATGTGCAGACTTTGTGGCAGGCACAGCACTTTGTGAACCTGGAAGTGCAGACTTCGGGGCAGGCGCGGCACTTTGTGCTGTCAGATGCTCACTCTCTCACTCACACTCTCACTCACAAAATACGGAGCCCCTCACACACGCTCACGCTCACTCTCACTCACACTCACTCTTCACTCACCCACCACCACCGCTGCCGTCACCACGACCCCCACCTTCATCACCACCATCACCTCTGTACCCCAACGCGTCTAGATCTCTAGACTTTCTGCTTATAGACCTCACACACACACTGTTCGGGGTCTCTTGCCGGGACAATTGTTTTTTTACAGCCCGGGGGGGAGGCCGCTAGAAGAGGAAGAGGTATTAGCGCCTACTTAATCAAGGAAGGTACTGGACGCTCCGAGCTCGGACGCAGGATAGCGCTCGCACTATTCGTTTGGTTCCTAGCTTTTTGGGAAACTTGCGTCATAAAGGTTTCCAAGGGGCCACTTTTCACTTCCATGTTGGTGAGTCCAGATGTAACCTGGTGGACCAGGGTTCCCGATGGAATGAACTCATCTAGGCCCACTATGTCCAAGACACAACTTAAAACAGGTGCTCACATCATCCTTGCTAAGTGAATGCATGTTTCACATCTCCAGATTCAACGCCTGCATCCTGCCCAGATACCCGGAGTTGAACGACAGCTACCAGCTGGGTGAAGAGATTTGCTTGAGACCTGAGGCCAGGCAGTGAAACTGACAGGCATGACAGTGCGCAAATGCCTACGTAGATTTATTGTGAAACATCACATATGCTCTCTGAGAATATCCCACGAGGAGCATCTAGTTTGGGTGGAGAACACCAAGATGATTTTCTGCGGCATTTTGACTGTCCATGTCCATCATACACATATAATCACATATATATATAATTATATATACATAACGTCTCAACTTCTTCTCAGGTTCAGGGAGCCGTATCAAGATTCTCCGTGGCTCCGGCCTCAGATCCCTTGGTCAAAGCAGGTGTTTTGCCACGAGGCTGCCGCTCCTGCCAGAACCCTTTATAGTTACATAGTTGCTTTAGCTGTTTACTAAGGGGACTTGACACTTTGCCAAGCACCTGGTGCCTTGCAACGCACCGCCACTCCTCTGAACAACTCCCCAACTTCTCGGCCACTTCGAGGCCCCGCCCCTGCCGGCTGGGCTCAGCTTGAATGAAGCCACAGGCGGGATCGGGATTGGTGGTGTTGCCTTTGTGATCCTTGATGCTGGATGTCCACTCGGTGAATAGGTTTCTTGAACGTCCAGTCAGACACCAACCCTCATGGTAGGAGCTCATTTTGCACGAGGCAGTTGCCACGACAATCTACAGGGCGATGAACTATGACCCCCAACGACAGCCCAAAACCTTCAAACAGCGGGATGATGGAAGTCAACTCTCCATTGTACCTGTATCATTTGGCAGGTGAAGTCACTGGAGCTTTTGACGCCATTTCAGATGGGTCCTCCCATGTCGTCACAGCTGCTGGAGAGGACTTTACTTTTGGATCTTTTGGGATGTCTATGCCAATTGCGGGCACTTGCTTCCGCCTTGAATGCTTGTGAAAAGGATTTGTCGTCTCACAGTCAGGAAGACTTCCTTGGAAGCCAATTCGCGCAAAGAGCGTGTTTGTATTGTCAACTTTTCCTCATGCGATAGGAATAGCTAGATTGCAGAGTAGACCACCCACCTTATCATGACCTCTGCTGCTGCAGGGCATAAGCCAGTGCCTGACAAGCCCAATGACAAACTGGACAACAGAAAACAAACCCCAACTTCACACGCACACTTCGAACTTCGAACTTGGGTTTTCAGTTAGTTCAATTGCCATGATGGGAAGGAAGGCGATGGAACAGCAAGGTGAAAGGGTCCGGTGAC